ATATATAAAAAGAGGAAAGCAATAATAATATTGTTAATTTAAACTCAAATACAGCAGTAACAGCTCTGGAATTAAATAAACTAATTAAAAGACAATGATGGTTAAAAAAAAAAAATCTATTAAAAAATGGCAGCCTGCCTGGCATGGCTCAGTGGTGGAGAGTTGACCTATGAACCAGGAGGTCACAGTTTGATTTCTGGTCAGGGCACATTCCTGGGTTGCGGGCTCTATCCCCAGGAAGGGGCATGCAAAAATCTGCTCACCATTGATGGTTCTTTTTTTTAATTGTTTTTATTTTTTTATTGATTTCAGAGAGGAAGGGAGAGGGCAAGGAAGATAGATACATCAATGATGAGAGAGTCATTGATCCACTGCCTCCTGCACGACCCCTACTGAAGATTGAGCCTACAACCGGGCATGTGTTCTAACTAGGAATCCAACCATGACCTCCTTCTTTGTTTATAGGTCATACTCAACCACTGAGCAACACCAGCCAGGCCCAATGGTATTTTTTTTTTTTTTTTAAGAAATAGAACAAAAAAATCACCACCTTTGTTAGAAATCACAGCCTGACAGTTGTTGCTCAGTGGTTGAGCTTCTGCTTATGAACCAGGAGGTCATGTTTTGATTCCTGGTCAAGGCACATGCCCAGGTTGTGGGCTTGATCCCCAGTGTGGGGCATGTAGGGGGCAGCTGATCAATGATATTGTGTTTCTCTTTCTCCCTCTCCCTTCCTCTCTGAAATCAATAAAAATATATTTTTTTAAAAAAGAAAAAAATTCTAAAGACTTCAAAGAGTCAAAACAGTACTGAGGAAATAAAAACCAAAACCAGAGGTATCACACTCTCTTAGTTCAAATTATACTACTAAATAACAATCAAAACAGCATGGTATTGGCAGAAAAACAGACACACAGATCAATGGAATAAAATTGAGAGCCCAAAAAATGTGCAATACTGTACAAAAAAAAAAAAGGGAGCCAAAATGTATAATAAAGTGGGGGACAGGGGGGGAGCCCTCTTCAATAAATGGTGCTGGGAAAATTGGAAAGCCACATGCAAAAAAATGAAACTAGATTACTGTTAGTTCTCATATATACAAAAATAAACTCAAAATAGATTTTTTAAAAAAACACCAAAGACCTAAATATAAGACCAGAGACAAGAAAAAAAAAACATAGGTACTACACTTAGAGTGGATTTTATGCATTTGACCCCAAAGGCAAGGGAAGCAAAGGCAAAAAATATATGAATGGGACTACATTAAACTAAAAAACAGCTGTACGACAAAAGAAAATGGCAATGAAACAAAAAGAAACTAACAGAATAGAAGATATTTGCAAGCAACTCCAACAAAGGGCTAAAATCCAAAATATGTAAAGAACTCATTTGAAAGCAACAAATAAACAAACAAGAAAAACAAGCAGAGAAAAATTCATAAACACACACAATAGTATGGTGGTCATCAGAGTTCCCCTGGGGGAAGGATAATAAAGGGTAAAGGGATTTTTCAGTCTGGTGATGGAAGAAGATTTGACTTTGAGTGGTGAACACACTATGCAATATATAGATAATGCATTATAGAATTATACACTTGAAACCTATATAATTTTATTAACCAATGTAAATTAAAACAAATTCAATTTAAGTAAATAACAAATGACAATAATAGTAATATCATTACAGAAGAAACTATCAAAGTCAAGAGCTAATTTCTGAAATATTTATAAAATTATTAAATACCACCCTGGCCAGTATAACTCAATTGATTGGAGAATGATCCTGTGCACCAAAGGGTCATGGGTTCGATTCCTAGTCAGGGCACATATCCAGGTTGCAGGTTCAATCCCCATTTGGGGCACATACAGGAGGTACCCAATCAATGTTTCTGTCTCACATAGATGATTCTCCTTTTCTCTCTCTCTCTCTCTCTCTCTCTCTCTCTCTCTCTCTCTCTCTTCCCCTTTCCTCTCTCTAAGCAATAAAAATTCTTTTTAAAATATTGTTAAGTGCCTGCAAAAATTAGAAAGAGAAAGAACAAATGAGAGAGAACAAATTTCCAAGATCTTATAAAAGGGACATAACTATGAACCCTACAGACATTAGCATGATATAATAATAAGAAAATATGCACAGAGCCAACAAAAGAGGACATTTGAAAACCTTGGACAAATTCTTGAAAAAACAATAAATTTACCAAAGATGACACAATAAGAAATACATAATTTGAATAAAGGTATTATTTATTTGTTAATTAGCTGCGAAATTTACCCCATCTCAGAAAGAATTCCCAATACATAGCTGAATTTTTCATAGAGATGACATGGAAGTATACATAGAAAATCCAAGAAGATCTACAGATAAAATATTAAACTTAAGATGTTAATTTAACATGGATACTGGGAGCAAAGTCTAAATATTTTAGATATTAGAAGAAAAAAAAAACAGGAACACATACACACACACACTCTCACACACACAAAAAGAAGTTGAAAAGCCCTGTATTTAGTTAAAATCGTGGTAAATTAAGGTTCTCCAAGGTGAGGACATCTAAAGGGAAATCATAAGCTCAAGAAACCATCTTTGAGAGACGATGATGCGGGGGAGTTAGGGAAAATAATAAGAGCAAAGAAAACAGAAAAAAACATGAAAACAATTGCAAGATGAAGACATCAGATGAAAGAAATACCAGATTTGTCAAACAATTTAAAGTTCCAACTCAATAGGTTTAAGAGGAAAACTGAAACTTGGGTTTACAGAACTAAAATATCCAGAAGTAGGCCAGTCTCCACATACAGTTTGATTTGATTTTTTACTTTGTCAATTCAACATTCTGTTTTATTTGTGAACTTTATTCCTGAGTCAGCTTTTCCTATGAAACAAGATTCCGTCTCAATCCCGACCTTGGGTGCTGGCATATCATCCGGACAAAGAAAGAAGCCTTCTTTTCTGAAAAACCACTGAATATAATCTGTAGGCTTCAGTTGGATTGGACAGAATTAGGTCTCACACACACATTGTGCACTAATTATTCCAATAAACCCGCTCTCATCTGGGGTCAAACTTTCCCCCTCGGGATCACTTGGCAGTATCTGAAGATATATTTGGTTGTCAACACTGGGAAGGTGCTGCTGGCATCTAGAAAGTAGAAATACTGATAAGAATCCTGGTGTGTACAGGACAACCCGCCATAACAAAAAAATTATCTGGCCCAGAATGTCAATAGCACAAAAGTTGAGAAGTTTTTAGACAAGGGGTTCTCAAACTTAAATGTATATCAGGATAATCAGAAAGCTTGTTAAAATACAGATTTCTAGTTTCTATCAGTGGTTTTTTTATTTTTATTTAATAGGTTGAGAGAGAGGCCTCAACCTATTAAATAAAATACTTCATTTTTAACAAACTCATAGGCACTACTGCTGGCGGTAGCTCACAGTCCACACTCCAAGAAACATAAATTCAGGCCCTAGATTGTAGCTGAGGGCACAGTCAAGCATACAACAACATGCCTACTCTTTCAGATGTGGTGGAGTTGAATGCATTCTGGAGAAGTAACCTGCTATTCTAATTGAGAGAGGAGAAAACTGTATTTTCAGCCATTTTCTTACCCTTCCCAAATCCTGAAATCAATATTGTCCTAAAGCTTCCATGTGAGAGAACTGCTTCCAGTACTCACAACTACTCCTAAAGTTCTACTTGCTCTGACTTCCTTTTATGAGTATCTTATCTATTAAAAAGACACTCACGTTCTCTCCATTTCCCTCCTGCTGCTGTTTTAATCAAATGAATTTGGATTTTTTTAATGGTGTTTCTAGAAAACTATGTAATAAGCAAAAAAAAATTAATCAGTGTAAGTGTGAATCAAAGGTCAAACTGAATTGCTATCCCACAGACCTTCAAGTCCCTGAAGGCAAGAAAAGCTCTCTTGATTTATATAATCAAGATATAATTGATTTTTTTACAGAGAGGAAGGGAGAGAGATAGAGAGCTAGAAACGTCGATGAGAGAGAAACATCGACCACCTGCCTCTTGCACACCCCCCACCAGGGATGTGCCCGCAACCAACGTACATGCCCCTGACCGGAATCGAACCTGGGACCTTTCAGTCCACAGACCTACGCTCTACCACTGAGCCAAACCAGTGTCAGCAACCCTCTTGATTTTTACTTGGCCGTTTAACCGCCTCTTGCACTATCACCCCTCACACGTCCTACTTCTCATTCGTCCTCACTGAAAAATGAGAGCAGGATCTTAGTCTGATGAATTTTGGTGGGTAAACCCTGGTTATAGTATCGGCACACGTGGTTTTCTCCAGAGGGGTTCAGGGCATAAACAGAAGAACGTGATCTTAATAAGAGGAAAATCTAGAATATCAACTAAAAATAATAAAAAGAGGTTTAATACCAATAAGTTACTGAATATCATAACTTAGCCTAGCCTACCTTAAACATGCTCAAAACACATACCTATGCCTATCCTTGGGCAAAATCATCTAACACAGCAAACACATTGCAGAGTATCGGTTGTTCATCCTCCTGATCTCGTGGCTGACTGGGAGCTAGGCTCGCTGCCACTGCCCCTGTCACAAGAGAGTATCATACACATATTACTGGCCCAGGAAGAAAAGCAAACCTCAAGTACCATTTCTACTAAAAGTGTATTGTTTTCACACCACTAGAAAGTAAAAAAGAATGTAAGTCGAGGACCATCTGTACTTTATTTTATTTATTCCAAGATACATCCTTTCTCACATCTCACATTTATTAAACCTCTAGGATGGAGCCTACTATTGATACTATCATATAATAAATTGAGTTCTTAATGATTTTTCTGTCAGTGTATAAATGATGATACATCTCACAGCCTGTGGGAACCCTGAGTTGAACAAATATGATAATTCTTTGATTAAAGATGATGAACTTGACTCTTGCACTGACAACTTGAGCTTCTTGTCTTCTGGGTCCTTATTCCAAACGGGAACAAGGAGACATGATAACATCTCACAGGATATTCTGATATGACCTGTTAAGAACACAAGCAATTTTAGCCCTATATATGAGATATGTGCACACCTATTTCATAGCAGCATTAAGCGCAACCCAAGTGCCCACTGATTGGATAAACAAACATGTTACATAAATGCAGTGGAATATTATTCATCCTTCCCCAAAAAGGAAAGAAATTCTGACACATGCTACAACCCGGAAGAATCATGAGTACATTATGCTAAATGAAATAATCTAGTCATAAAAAGGCAAATATTCATGATTCCACTTATATGAGGTATCTAAAGGAGTCAAATGTATGTAGATAAAAAGTAGAATGTTGGGTGTCTGGGTCTAGATGACCAGGAGATACCAAGATGTTGTTCAAAGGGCGTAGAGTTTTAGTTTTTCTAGATGAAAAAGAGTTCTAGAGATGGGTGGCACAAAAAAATGGGAGTGTAGTTACTATTACTAAACTGTGCATTTAAAAATAACTAAGATACTAAGTTTTGTGTCACACATATATTACCACAATTAAAAAGTAGATTTACATTACATTAAGATGGGAATTTGAGAGAAAGTGCAAAAAGTCTTGTGGAAAGATTGAGGCTAATCCTATATAATAAAAGGCTAATATGCAAATCGACCAAATGACAGAATGACTGGTCAATATGACATGCACTGACCACCAGGGGGCAAACCCTCAATACAGGAGCTGCCCCCTGGTGGTCAGTGCACTCCCACAGGGGGAATGCTGCTCAGCCAGAAGCCATTCTCATGGCTGGCAAGTAAGCAGCAGTGGTGGGAGTCTCTCGGCCTCCATGGCAGCCCTAAGGATGTCTGATTGATGGCTTAGGCCCGCTCCCCGTCAGTCAGACACCCCCCCCCCAAGGGCTCCTGGACTGTGAGAGGGAACCGGCCAGGCTGAGGGACACCTCTAGTGTAATATAAATAGATAAAATTGGTATGAAAGAGTGGGAGGGTGACAGAAAAGAAAGATTTTTTAAAACTTACCAGCGCCTCCAAAACCATAAAGCAAGACATATCAAAAGAATCAAGGTGGGCAATATCACTGCCAAAAGTATCACAGTGAGGGAGGTAGACTTTCCTATGGGAGAAAACACAAAGATGTCACTTCAAAGCCTGTCCTCCGATCCGCCTGCCCTCCCTTTGCTGCCTGAGGGTCACACTTCTGGTGTGTGGGCATGAACAACTCCCTCTCTCATATTTTCTGAAAAATGTATCCATATCTAATTTCTGTCTCTTCTTCTTGCCCCACTGTACCCTATACTATATAGGTCCATGATTCTTACCTATTTTACACCTTGCGTCAGCAATTTTGCTATCTTTTTCATCTCATGGCACACACAAACAAATTACTAAAATTATGCAGCACCCCAAAAATATATATTTTTTGCCAATTTGACTCCCCCAAAAATAGGTATAATTTTCATTCATTCCCACTAGACATCTATTGTTGTGTTGGCGATTGGCTTTTTTTTATTATTATTAATCTTCACCTGAAGATATTTTTTCCATTGATTTTTAAAGAGAGTGGAAGGGAAGGAGGGAGGGAGGAGGAGAGAGAGAAACATTGATGTGAGAGCGACACATGTTGCCTCCTGCACCTGCCCCAACTGGGGGGGGAGGGAGGGGCGAGAGGGAGAGTGGGGCCTGGGATGAACCTGCAACCTAGGTATATGCCCTTGACCAGAAATCAAACCTGTGACCCTTCAGTACATGGGCAGGCGTTCTAACCTCTGAACCATGCCAGCCAGGGTAACTGTGGTCATGGTTTATTTGACTACCTAAGAGATAAGAGGTCAAAGCCCCTGACTATATAGTCAGGTGTTCCATGTTGTGGCAGACCGATGGAAAACCACTGCCATAGGCCATCTCTCAATCTCTCTCTCTCTCTCTCTCTCTCTCTCTCTCTCTCTCTCTCTCTCTCTCTCTCTCATTAAATCTCACCACTTTGCTAAAGATTGTGTTTGAGGACCATCCCCTCCCAGTGGGGCCCCAGCACTCACCCCAGTAGAGGACAATGTCCTGGTTACCAAGGCTGCTGTGCCTCACCCGGCAGGCCAGGCCAGCTGCCTCCCCGGCTGCCACGTCCAGGGTCACCCGGAGATACCACGTCCCATCGGCATTGGGCAGGATGTCCCCTTGCTGGGCGCCCGGCAGCTCCTGCTGCCCCCTCATCCACCGCACCCACACAGGCTTGGGGTAGAATCCTAAGACATGGCACACCAGCAGCAGACGGTCAGGTCCAGGAGGGGGGCCACTGGACAGCCAGGCCTTGGGTTTCACTGCGGCAGGAAGGAGCAGGGACAGTGTCAAATTACGACTCTCATCTAGCACATAGGAATTCAGAAACCCACAGGTTTGGACAGCAACCCCTTCGGCTCCTCAGGAAACCAAATAACGTACTGAGTGAGCCCCTCTCTCCTACCTCCCACTGGAACATAGGATGGTGGTGGCAAGTGCAAAAGGGAACTCTTGGGGGGAGAGGACGAACCTTGCCTTTGCAGCTCCTCCTTGCCCGCTTCGAGGACGCTCCAGAGGTACCGGGGGCAGGTGTGGTAGAGGAGCTTCTGGATGATGTCAGAGATGCCTTGGTACTGAGTGAAGAGCGAGCAGAACCACTGGGCGCGGCTGCTGCCCTCCGCGGCGGGCACGCACGTCCCGTTCCTGAGGCTCACGAAGTCCACTCCCCCTAAGGCTCCCCGCAGGAAGCTGACTGTGGCCTTCCCCTCGCGCAGCTCGCAGCCTGCTGTGCCCTGGATCTCAAAGGGATCTGAGAGGAGAGAAACAGAGGGAACTCCATGTACAAGCGAGCAAGGCGGAAAGGGATGGAGGAAGGGCCTAGACTCTTGGACAGCCTAAGGGATAAGAGGTCAAAGCCCCTGACTGTATAGCCAGGTGTTGCATGTTTTACAAATTGGTTGCTGGGGAGGCAGCTGGCCTGGCCTGCCGGGTGAGGCACAGCAGCCTCGGAGGCCAGGACATCGTCCTCTCCTGGGGTGAGCGTTGGGGAACCCCTGGGAGGGGATGTTCCTCGAACACCATCTCTAGCAAAGAGGTGAGATTTAATGAGTGAGAGAAAAGGGGAGGGGGGAGAGGGAGGGAAACTGAGGGGGGGGGGGAAGATGGCCTATGGCAGTGTTTATCAACTGGTGTGCTTTTATTAGTTTAGGTTGATTGTTATTTTAGAGGGTGCTTTTTCTCTTTATAAGAAACAGAAGTCTCCTGTAACACAGTATGCCGTGTTAGACCAGCAACAGCCTCAGACGTCTCACGTGTACCACATCTCTGGATTGCGTCATTTTCTCTAGTGCTTGGTTTGATCTCATGGTTCTTGTACAGCAATGTGTTGTACAGAACTGTGGCCTAGAAATAACAGCATATACCATACAGCCGAGGTGTGTGTTGAGCTAGCCCCTCTAGTTTGTGTAAGTGCAGTCTGTGATGTTCGCACAAGAATGAAACGGTCAGAACCTCTGCATTGTTAAGAACCTAACACGTTTCTCTCCCGGTTGCTAAGTGGAGTCTGACTGTATCCATAGACTTTTCAGAGGAGAAGGACACAGGTCACAAACAGTGGAGAAGGGCTGTGGGAATGACATAGGGGAGGGAGAGAAGCTGTGGGAGGGGAACTGTGAGGAGCAGGGTGATGAAGTCAGGACACAGCATTCCAGAAGGAATGGGAGCATTGCACTGAGAAGAGGGATCCGGCAGGAAGGAGAGGCTCCAGGAGGTGGATTGAAGAAAGAAGGAGCTCACACTTGAGTTTGCGCAGGCACAGAGGAGAAGAGATGAGGGCTTCCCCAAGGAGGGGGGTGGGGGGGGTTCAAGAGCAAAAATTTAAACATAAACAAGCCAGGTGATCGTCCCAAAGGGGGATCTTTATCAGACGCGGGAGCAGGGAACAGGAAGCTGCAATCCTTTGTGGACACATGGAGCCTAGGGCAGTGGTCGGCAAACTCATTAGTCAACAGAGCCAACGATCAACAGGACAACGATTGACATTTCTTTGGAGAGCCACATTTTTAAAACTTAAACTATATCGGTAGGTACATTGTTATTCACTTAATGAGGGTACTCCTTCAATCGCACTATATAATATGTGCGCGCCCGCACGTGGTATTTTGTGGAAGAGCCACACTCAGAGAGCCAAAGAGCCGCATGTGACTTGCGAGCCATGATTTGCTGACCACAGGCCTAGGGGAAGGCAAGTCTAGTGACGTTGGATAAGCTGGGAAGAAGAAGAGAAAGGCCTGGGGATGCGGTGCTTACACCAGAGAGAGAGAGATCACTGATAATCTCTCCAAGCCCGGCACTCACAGGTCAGCTGGAACTCACTGACATGGTCCTGCACCACCCGGACGAACCCGATCAGATAGACCCGGAACAGCTCCACCAGCTCTGTCACCTCCTCGTCGCTCAAGTTGCCCTTAGACCAGGGCTTCAGGAAGATGGCCGTGCCCGCCTCGTTGTCCCAGCCTTGGATCTGCACGTCGCCCAGCCAGCCGGAGCCCTGGTTCTGTGCCCAGCTGCTGTTGGCAAAGGACGATATCTGGTTGAGGTGGAAGGTGGTCGGCCCCTGGAAAGCTGTGGGTGGTGAAAGGATAAGAAAAGTGAAAAGGAGCCGAAACCAGTTTGGCTCAGTGGATAGAGCGTTGGCCTGCAGACCAAAAGGTCCCAGGTTCGATTCCGGTCAAAGTCATGTACCTTAGTTGCCGGCACATTCCCAATGGGTGGTGTGCAAGAGGCAGCTGGTTGGTGATTCTCTCTCATTGATGTTTCTGATTCTCTATCCCTCTCTCTTCCTCTCTGTGAAATATCAACAAAATATATATTTTAAAAAAAAGAAAGAAAGAAAAGTGAAAGAGAGAGAAACAGAAGGAAATGGGGGAATGAGGAGAGAGGGAGAAATGAAAACCAGAAAGGTCCAGAGGAAAAGAACCCAGAACCTGAACAGCAAAATGCCAGAGACATTTTCCTGTGCCAGGACTCCGGGCTCCATCCCCAGCCCCAGAATGAAAAAGAGGCTGGAGACAGAGGGCCCAGACCCTTACAATTACCCAGACCCTGATCCCCTTGCTGGGAGAGGCTCCTCTTACCCGGCCCGCTGTCACCACCTGGGAGGAGAACCGCGAGCAGCAGAAGTGGCAGAGGCAGCATCTCCCTGGGAGACAGAGCGTCTGCCTCTCAGAGCTGGCGTCTGGTCTCTGAGCTCAGCAAGCCGTGTTCTCCGCCCTCTGCAGTGTCTTCCTCTCTCCTCCAACGAACAAACCTCTGCCTCGGCCAGGCTGCACACGAGAAAAGCTGTGCCTCCCCCTGCCAGGCCCTCCCACTCTGCTCTCATTTCCACTCCAGCCCTGACTTCCAGACTGTTGTCTTGTCTCCTTGGCTCCCAGCGGCTGTCCCTCACCTCAGCTTTCTCATGCCGCCTTGAAACAGCCCCCATGTGATTTTGAAAAGTTGTTTGACTTCTCCCACCTTTTCTGGTAACATCGGTTACATCAGAAGGTAATGGTAAATAATTCTCTGCTTTCACCTAGGAATATTCTTTTGATTTATCCACCCAACCCTGCCTTCCTCCTCACAGCCCTCTCTTCCCTGGCGCTCTAGCCCAACATTCTCAATGCCTCTTTTTTTTTTTAAATCTCATCTCCTTTCCTGATCTTCCTAAAGCCATATTCTTGTTTAGGGTGTGTGTGTGTGTGTGTGTGTGTGTGTGTGTGTGTGTGTGTCAGTAATTTACAAAAGGCAAAGCATTTAAAACATTTGCCCAGTCCTGGCCGAGTAGCTCAGTTGGTTAAAGCTTCTTCCCATCCACCAAAAGGTTCTCTGTCTCCCTCTCTCTCTAAAGTCAATAAGAAAACATATCCTCAGGTGAGAATTAAAAATATTCATAATAAGATAAAACATTTGTCTGGACTATAGTACTGCAGACCCAACTTCCAAAATCAAATAAATTAAATACTGTAGCTTATCATACAAGCAAAATTATCTTAGACCATAGCGATTTTTGAAAAGAAAAATTACATTGGCTACTAGCATATGACCCTCTTTGCAGTAACTTTCTGACCTGTGAGAGTTTGAGTAACAGATTATTCTGAGACAAGCAGACCTTGGGAAGTTATGTTACATGTAGCTTCAGGCTAAGTCAAAAACAAGCTCTTTTTGTTTATTAGTTTGTTTTTTCTGTAATCCCTTCATCTTTCTCACTCAGCCCTGCCTCATCTCCTCCTCTCTGATAGCTTGTAGTCTATTCTTTTTATCTGAATTTGTTTCTAACTTTTGGTTGTTGTTCATTAGATTCCACATGTAAGTGAAATCATAAGGTATTTGTCTTTCTCTGACTGGCTTATTTCACTTAGCATTATACTTCCCAGATCCATCCATGCTGTTGCAAAAGGTAAGATTTCCTTCTTTTTTATGGCTGAGTAGTATTGCATTGTATAAACATACCACAGCTTTTTTAGCCACTCATCTACTGGTGGGAACTTGTATTGCTTCCAAATCTTGGTTATTGTGAATAATGCTGCAATGAACATAGAGGTGCATATATACTTCCATTTTTTAAAAAATTTCTTTGGATATACACTGAGTGGCCAGATTATTATGACCTCTGAATCCATAGTAATCTGGCCACTCAGTGTATATTGTATATAATAAAAGGCTAATATGCAAATTGTCCCCTCTACCAAGAGTTCATCCAGCAGGCAGGCCGGCCAACTGTCCATGTCCCCTCCCCCTGGCCAGGCTGACGGGACCCCACCCATACACGAATTCATGCACCGGGCCTCTAAAAAAATACACACACACACACACACACTGAGTGGCCAGATTATTATGCCTTCAGAGATAATAATCTGGCAACTCGGTATATTTCCAGAGTGCATGAAATGGGTCATCATAGATTGTGGGGTATGGACCTCTGAAGACATTGAATGGAGGAGGACATCAGATCAAAAGGGAGTCAAGTACACAGTGGGACAATTGTGTCTCTCTGGATTTTAGGCCATAGAAGGTAGAAATCTTGGGGAAAGATTATTTTTTAACGTACACACATGCGCGTGCACGCGCGCGCGCGCCGCGCGCGCACACACACACACACACACACACACACACACACACACACCAGAAGAAATCCTGAGGAGTCAACATCTGGAATAGCCCCAAAAAGTTAATGCATAAGGAATGTTATGGTGGGATAGGAATAATGCGAAAAGATCTAGGAAGAATGTGAGAATGTTTCCCAGGAAGATAACTTAATTGAGTATAATGAAGTTACATGCAAACAGCGATTGACTAGACATTTTGAATCTCCTGAGTTAATCCAGTGAAGCAGACATAAAGTAACAGCCCCCGGTCTATCAACTCCTTGTTGACGAAGTTATCTTTGGACCATGTGTGTGGGGAAATTTCTGGGGCGTTTGTACTCTCCCAGTCATGAGGTTGTGACTCAGCCAGCCAATGTGGACTGTGATTTTGTGCTTAGGATTGACGGACAAATGATGAGGTCAAAATGAGATGGAACCAGATATGTAACTGGACCACTGTGGGTGGTAGAAGTCAGATGGTTTCAGGAAAAAAAAAAAAAAAAAGGAAGAAAGAAAGAAAGAAAGAAAGAAAGAAAGAAAGAAAGAAAGAAAGAAAGAAAGAAAGAAGGAAGGAAGGAAGGAAGGAAGGAAGGAAGGAAGGAAGGAAGGAAGGAAGGAAGGAAGGAAGGAAGATAGAAAGAAAGAAAGAAAGAAAGAAAGAAAGAAAGAAAGAAAGAAAGAAAGAAAGAAAGAAAGAAAGAAAGAAAGAAAGAAAGAAAGAAAGAAAGAAAGAAAAGGAAAGAAAGAAAAGGAAAGAAAGAAAGAAAGAAAGAAAGAAAGAAAGAAAGAAAGAAAGAAAGAAAGAAAGAAAGAAGAAAGAAAGAAAGAAAGAAAGAAAGAAAGAAAGAAAGAAAGAAAGAAAGAAAGAAAGAAAGAAAGAAAGAAAGAAAGAAAGAAAGAAAGACAAAAAAAAAAAAAACAGGAAAGTAAGGAGGAAAAAAAGTGGACAATAAACCAGTTACCAGAGGGAGAGAAAAATGTTCTGACTAGTTTAAAAGTGTATTTTCCTGACACAGGGCCCCTGACTCTCCCACCTTCTTCAGAAGAGTAACCTGGCCTGCAGACTGGGGTGCTCCGCTGGGACGCACTCTGGTATCCTTGGAATCCAGATCCGTCTTTGAGAATGTCACCACCTGAGCCCCCAACGGATGTCTCCCCATCAGGATTGTCACTGCAGGAGAAAGCAGCTCACATTGCAAGTTGCAAAAGCAGCGTGTCGTTTGCAGATGTTTCTTCTTTTACTTTGTTCCCAGCAAACCTATCTTTCAGTCTCTCTATTCTGGCTTCCTTCTTTCACCAACAGACAGCCTCCCACCAACGGCTGACTGGACCAAGAAAGTCTGCTGCTTGCCTCACCCTTGGACCTTCTACTTGATCTCTCACTTCCTCTCTGTCTCTGGCCTCAGATTATTTTTTCCTCTCTGGGTTTTGGCTGCTGTTCTTCTTCCTTTTTTAATTTTTTTTTTAAATTGATATCAGAGTGAGGAAAGGAGAAGGGGAGAGAGATACATCAATGAGGAGAGAGAATCATTGATCAGCTGCCTCCTCCACACCCCCTACTGGGGATCAAGCATGCAACCCCGGCATGCCCTGACTGGGAATAGAACTGTGACCTCCTGGTTCATAGGTCGATGCTTAACCACTGAGCTCACCAGCCCAGCCCAGCCGCTGTTCTTATCACTAGACTTTATCCTGTCTATTCTCCCTCCTCAACTGCCATAGACAAAGTTGTGTGTGATATTGAAAGGTCACTTCAGGAAAACTTGCCCCCCCAACAAAAAAAAAAAGTTTGGAGCTAAAACCTAAAGGATCTGCTAAATAGAAAGAATAAATAATATCAAACATAAGGAATCTTGGGGGGGAACAGACCTCTGAAGTAATTATAAGTTCCATATGGCTGAATCCTGGAGAGCCAAGGAGGAACGATACTAAGGGGAGGTAGAGGGGCTTTTTTTAATCCCCAAAGCAGGAAGTTATTGGGAGCAGTGAAAGATTAAATAATAGTGCACGTATTCAAAAGTGAATTTTTTAAAGATAAAAAAAAAAATTTTTTTAAAGGATGGACACTATGATGCTATGTAGAAAGTGATTAGTCTCCGCCAAAACCAGTTTGGCTCAGTGGCTAGAGCGTCGGACGGCAGACTGAAAGGTCCCGGGTTTGATTCCAGTCAAGGACATGTACCTTGGTTGCAGGCACATCCCCATTGGGGGGTGTGCAAGAGGCAGCTGGTCGATGTTTCTCTCTCATCGATGTTTCTAGCTCTCTGTCCCTCTCAATTCCTTTCTGTGTAAAATCAATAAAATATATATATTTTTTAAAAAGTGATTAGCATCCTATTGTAAGAAATCAGGTGAACCAATAGTAACAGGAACAAACGTGGGAGCAGTGAAGATGAGAGAACTGAAAATGATTATTATTTATTATTATCTTTTAAAATATATTCCAGAGATGAAATGAACACAATTAGGAGAGTGATTGAATATGGGGAATGAAGGTAAAAGAGAACAGGAACTTCACTGACCCTCAAGTATCAGGATACTAGGACTAGATGGGTGTAATACCATTGGAAAGAGGTCTGGACTGGAGGTAAAGATGTATGAGTCATTGGGTTAAACATAAAAATGAACATCGGTGTGCAGATGAGCACCCACTAGAACAGTATCCTCAAATAAAATGCAAAAAAGTTCATGGAAATATAGAAAGGTCACTTGACCTCCTTGGGACTTGCATCTCAACTCTAAAATTTTAAAAGTGATGATAATAATAAAGCATCAATTACTTAGCTTTTCTGGACCCTGCAGATCACCATTTGTCTCCTCAACTCAATTCTGCCTGCAGGCTCCATTAAGTCCCCTCTTCTTAGTCATAAAATGCAGCTTTTCAAGAGGATACATGGAGAGACATTAAAAATTCACGTGGAAGTTAAATTTTGTTATCTGATAAAAATACATTGACAAAAAAAGAGTAACATTTGTTACTGTTTCCATGTGTTTAAGCAGTCTTTTAAGAAACAGATGGTGATTTGCCAATGGTTCTCACTGGCTAATGTGAGCACCATTGAACACATGAAC